ATATTATTCATTGATCACAAATCACAACTTTATTTATGGTCACAAAATATCTAATTAATTAGTGACAAATTAAATTTCGATCAAAACTTATCAAATTATTGGTCACAACATAACAATTTTTTAGGTCATGCGTGATTTATTAGTTGCAAATTATCTATTTCATTGGCCACATATTATTTATTAATTACACATTAACCAATTTATTTGTTTCAATCAACCAAATAATTTGTGACTATCATAACAACCACCGTCACAACCGTTGCTGCAACTCCCACCACCTTACTAGGACTACCATTTGTGACCATAACCACCATTACAACATCATCAGAACAGTCACTTTACCACCACAATCAGCACCAACAAATCGGATCCAAAACGCCAACATCCCACAATCACCATCACCTCATAGTTATCGCCGCTTCCACCATTGCCGTCGCCACCACCACTATTTTCAATCACCACCACAACCACCATTTCCAACCAACACTCCTCCACAAACCTATTAACAAGAAGCCATCACGGTACCAACACCTCTCCGCCACCGTCAGATTCACCACCATCATCGCAACCAACCACCGCACCAACAATTGGCCAAAGGGTCTCCCCACCGCCAGAGTAGGATTTTGTGTATGGGAAAAATTCAAAACTATTTCAAAACTAAGATAAAAAGTTTAAAACATCAAAAATCATATATTTATTAAATTTTATTTCTGAAATAATTAATTAAAAATATATTTTATATATTAAATATAAGTAACAATTCTATACAATTTGATCACAAATTATCGAATTAATTGGTTACAAAATAATTTTCTCGATCACAATTAAAAATTTCAAGGTCACATATTTATCAAATTAATAGGCCACATATTATTCATTGGTCACAAATCACAAATTTTATAAATCACGACTTATTTCTTGGCCACAAAATATCAAAGTAATTGCCACAAATTATATTTAGGTCACAAATTAACAAAATTTTAGGTCACAAATTGTTTATTGGTCACAATTTATCTATTTTATTGGTCTTCATTGGTCATACATTAACCAAATTATTAGTCACAATCAACCAAATTATTTGTGACCACCACCAGCACTTCTGACCATCTCACCACTGCCACCAGCCACATCGCAGCCGAAACCACCCTGCCAGAACCACCACCACCACTTCTCGGTAGCAAAACCATCATCTCAAACCACTGCAGACACCACCATCAGCCTACCACTCTACAACATCATCACCACCGCAAAACACCGCAAAAATACTACAGCGGCTTTCAAAATGAAATGTGTGCAATGAACCTATTACGGCTCAGACTAGTAGCGGTCAGAGCGCCGCTGCTCCGGCCTCACAGAGGGACGCTCCAATGAAGAAAAAATGATGGAGAGACATAGCTCCTCTATCATCGGAGCAGCGGTGCACCGTCGGTTACAGAGGCGCTGTTCCAATGAAGATAGAACGACCATCACAAAACACCGTCAACACCACCACAAGACCACTAAGAAACAACGACGCACCACCACAAATCACCCCAAACCATAGCAAAAAACACAAAATTGTTGTAGCGGCGGCAAACATATCGCCGAGCACAACGACACCTTTCAAGTGAAGATAGAAATACCATAAAACACCACCACAACCACCACAAACCACAACAAAAACACACAAAATTGTTGTAGCGACGGCGAACATATCGCTGCACACAGAGGCACTCAATTCATAGCTACTCCTAGTGGCTCAGATCATCGACTCTCTAAGCATTGCTGTTTCGACCTGAGTGTCACTGCTCCAGCTGTGCAAAGGCGCCACAAAAAACACAAAATTGTTGTAGCAGCGACGAACATATCGCCACTGCACGTAGCGGCTCGGATCATCGACGCTTTGAGCGCCCCTGTTCCAATCTGAGTGTCGTTACTCCAGCTGTGCAGAGGCACCGCTACAATGAAGAAAGAAAAGAAAAATGGTACAAAGACATAAAGCAACTATCGTCGGAGCAATGACGATCTGACAGAGGCAACGCTTCAGTGAAGAAATAAATAAAAAAGATGGTAGAGAGCCATAGTAGACAGCGCATGGAGATGATAGGGAAAGAGTGAAGAAGAAGATGATAATAGGTTTGGAGTGAATTGGAATGGGATGGGATGACGTTTGGATAAATTGATTCATTTTATAATATTATTAATATGAATAATTGAATAATTATCTGATTTATGAATAAATAAACTTTATATCTGATTTTTAAAATACAATCTTTAAAAACCTGTCCACTTCTATTAAATTAGTCTACCCTGCCTTGACAAGTTCTATAATTATGAAAACATGTTTGGGAGTACTTGAAATCACCATTTAAGGATTATGGCTCATAAATTGTGGAAACTTTGTAAATGCCAAGACATGAATTTACAGTTTTGCTATTTGTACAGTTAGTTTGATAGTTTCTATGACAAATAAAAAAAAAAAGAAAATAATTTGACAGAAAATGAAAAACTAAATTGGTGTTGATTTATAAAATGAAGTTTTATCACAAAAGGGACCAGGCCACCTAAATTGGTGTTGATTACCACTGCTGACTAATAGCATTATTCATGAAAAACTATTTAAATTTCTATTAAATGCTATGCAAACCTAACTTTACAAAGTTGGGTAATGTTCTCTAACTTGAGACTGTACCTAGAAATTTGAATTGAGTTATGGATGACCAACTTGTATCATTTTAAAAGATTAAGAACTTTCCACTTAGACGTTGGGAACCAAGAGAGAAATTTCTCATAATGTTGTTAGAATTAGCGATGGAAAACATTTTTTATCGTTATATTCGGATTCTTGAATATTTGCTTTTCCGAAAATCTATTTCTTACATAAATCAAATAAATGTTATAGCAATTCTGAATTGCAAGCACCCTATACATGCACGACAAATGCTATTTCAATTTGTACATAATGTAGTTATATAATTATTTACGTACAGATGAAGTGTCAAAAGAGAATGATATATATATATATATATATAAATGATCTAATGAGCACCGGTGCTCATCTTATTCTAAGCACCGATGAGTTGGCACATTAATTCATTGGTGGATAAAGATTTTGTGAGTTCCAATCCACCAATGNTGCCGTTTAGGATATACAGAACATAGCGTCTCCCATTAACATCAACACATCACCTAAAATGGCGCATAAACGTTTTAAACATATGTCCTTTTTCTAATTCAGTGTTTACTGGCGAAGAAAAATCGAGAGCCTGTGACCCAAAATGGCATGTAGTCATTTTAAACGTATGCATATCATTTTTGCTAATTTCATGTTCGTTTCACTTCATTCTCGCTCGTTTTCACATGACTAGATTTAAACGTCACAGTCCACTCAAAGTTCAAACTATAGCGAGTCACATCATACATCCGATTGGAAATTATACTACACTTAAACACCAAGAAAAATGTAACAAATATGGTATACACAACATAAGACATGCAATCGTGCTATGTTTTGGATACCAGACTCGTACACATTGAACGACTAAACGCGCTATGTTTTGGATACCAGGCTCGAAGGGAACGCTTGTAATAAGGTATGCTTTTGCTAAATTAAATATTAGTACTTTCTTTTATACTTTTTTTGGTTTTTTTGTTAATAAGGTATCAAAAAAAATTCGAGGGCAGCCTCATAGCCCCCCATCCCTTCATCTTTATATCTTCAATTCTGGGACCTCCAACTTCAAAAGGCTAGCTCCGCCCCTGCTCACATCAGATTCAATGATATAAATGGTCCAAAAAAGTAACTAAAATGCAATTGTAGTTACTTTATAAATAAAGCTAGCAAATTTTCGAACTGACATGGTTATTACTCATATTTATAGTGAGGAAATCGCGTTGCAAACCCGCTAGTATCAAGAGTTTCTAGCATCAGTTCTCCTATTTGGCAGTGAGCAGTTCCAGATTTATTTTCATATTTGTTTATTTTTGATACGTATAGTGGACCTAATTATAGATTATCTCTCTTTTTCTATGCTTCCACTTCGATGTTACTGAAAAACTGTTGGGATTGATATATTATAAGAAATCCTAAAGAGGTGTCGACCTTGTTGGATAGTTCCTGTACATATACTATGTCCTATCTCAAAAATGTGAAAAATAAAAAAAATAAAAATTACAACCAGTAGAAATGACAGACTCGACTGGAAATTTCAACTTAGGCCATATCTTCAATAGCTCCAACTTTACCCATCCCTTCAACTATATACAGAGGGTGAACAGGAGAAGGAGAGTCGAATCCTTTTCAAATTCAAGAATTCACTTCAAATACTATTAATTTAAGCCGGGAGCTGAGTCGAGGGGTAAAAAAAAAAAAAAAAGAATTATACAGGACTGATACATAGAATTTTTTAATTTTTTTTTTACCTAATAAAAATTAAATGGGCTTGGGACAGGCCACCGCTGGTTTAAGCTTTACTTCAAGAAAATGGCAGAGCCACAAGGGGATGGGGCAGGGTGGCGGCCGCTCTCTCAACATTTTGAAATATTAGTAATTTTGAATTTTTTAAATATATACAAAATACATGTATGTTTTACCATTTCAACATTTTTCGATAAAAAATTCTTACTCGGCTGCTATTTTGAAAATACCTTTCGTGATAAGAAGTGTGTGTGAGAGAGAGACAGCCAGTCAAAACATGGATTTTGCCACTTTGACGGGAAATTTTAACAAATGCTTTGACATATTTTGAAGTAGCAGAAGATGATTTGATAGGAAATTTGACTATATTTAAAACAGTTCAATGATATAATATCACGTGGCATTATGTCAAACTTTATCTTAAAAAACCTGGCACTGTAGCACGATTCAGTCAAACATACAGAGCAAGTGAGCAATTGGGCATATCCTCATTTTTATATAAACCAGACCTATAGAGAATTTCTCTCACTCAGACCAACAAATTCAATCTCTCTTCCATTAGGCTCTTGAACGCTTAAATCTTTACATTCAAACCACTGGAAAAATGGCTGCCTTTTCTTCGTTTCAATTCGACTCATCAGTTTATCTGCCAAACTCTCCCATCAATAAAATGTGTGGCTCTCTCGAGGAAATTACGAACACGCGTTCTTTTCTATTTTATGAGCAGGAAACTCTTCAAAATCTCGATCAGGGCTGCACAAAAATTTCGACTCCAATTAGCAATAACGAGCCTTCTTTGAGCCATGTCACAAACAAGAACATTAGCATGGATAATTCTTCATCAATAACAGAACCAAATCCAATTCCCTTTATTGACAACAAGAAGAGGAAATTGAAAGTGGTTTCTCCTTCAAATTCTGCTCAATCCAAGGTTGATTTTTTAACACAAATATTCGTATACGTTAAAATCCTGTTCATTAATTACATAGTCCAGTCATGTCGAGTATTGTGTACTGATCATTAGTTTATGTGTATTAGGATACGAGAGAAGCCAAAATAAAGAAGCCAAAAAAATGCAAAGAGGTCGAAGAGAAAAAGAAGACAAAGAAAGACGAGAAAAAAGCAGAAGAAGAAGCTCCGACAGGCTACATTCATGTAAGAGCAAGAAGGGGCCAAGCAACAGATAGCCACAGCCTTGCAGAAAGGGTAATAAAAAAAAACTGTTTCTTAATCATTTCTATTACATAATATTTTTTACCATAATTTTCACAAAAAAAAAAAAAAAATTCCTATTAAATTACCAGAATTTGGAATATAATTTTTCACAATTTGTTTTTCAAATTATATCAGGTGAGAAGGGAAAGAATAAGTGAAAGAATGAAGCTTCTCCAAACTCTTGTTCCTGGTTGTGACAAGGTGAATATTACAAATAACCTCAGTTTGGTGGAGATTAAAATCAGATTTTTAGTAGATTTTGATAAAAGCTGATGAAATGTGTAGTTGAAAAGTTGTAGATCATATAAAAATGTAGTTAAAATTAATTATTGATTTTGACATAATTTAAATTTGGATTTTAATTCCTACCAAATATGGACATAATAAATAATAAATAATAATAATAATAAAAAATTTGGATTTTAATTCCTACCAAAAATGGACATAATAAATAATAAAAAATAATAATAATAAAAATATATACAAGCAAAAAAAAAAAAAGGAAGAAGAAGAAAATTCGTACGAGGATGGGGAGTACAAAGAAAGAGCTAAAGAAATTACCTTTCAAATTCTTAATCATACTCATTATCATCATACATCGAAGGTAACTTCTCTATACTCCTAGCCTCATTCATGCTCACGAATCGAAAGAAATTTTGTAAATTTATTATTATACTCCAAATTCGGCAGTCTCTCATTTAGAAATTCAATTTGTTGAAAGTTCTTTATCCGACAGCTTCATGTGGGTTGAGTGATGAACAGGTAACTGGGAAGGCCCCTATGTTGGATGAAATAATCAACTATGTCCAGTCCCTTCAAAATCAAGTCGAGGTATAAATTTTTATTCTCCAAATTAAATTGTTTTACAAAATATTATTTTTTAAAAAATTGATATATATTTTCGTATCTCTATATATTTTCAGTTTCTCTCGATGAAGCTCGCTTCGGCTAATCCCATGCTCCACGACTTCGGAATGGACTTGGAATCATTCATGGTTAGACCTGATCAGGTACATAAAGTTTTTATTTTTATTTTTCTAGTAATATTTTTTTGACATTTTTTAATTATTTTCTGAGTTATATATATAAACGTGCAGAATTTACGAGGCGTGCGGTTCAGCCCTACACAGACAGCAGCAAATGACTACCCTCTACTGGATAATTCGTCTAATATCCTTCTGCTTCAACCAGGCCAAATGCCAAATATCTTTTCGGACGTAATATGAACAAGATTTTAATTTTTTTTTTTAGTTCTTAATCTCAAGAACTGTCTAATTTACCTTACCGAACATGCCAATACGGTTTTACATAAACGATGAATTTAATGTCATTTTCAGGGAAATGGACAGTTCTTGTGGGAAGTGGATGAACAAAGACAAAAAACTATTAATCAGCCAGGAATCAGCTTCAATTTGTGTTCATAAATGTATCTGGTAAGCAATCAATCACTGTCTTATTGAATATGATTAATTCTTAATTAGTGCAAATCATAGATTAAAAAGATGATTATCTTTTCAAATGATGTTTTGTCCTACTTTACTATGTTTAAGGAATCCCAAAACATCATTAGCCAATTGCCTGCTGTGGAAAACTCTATTCTCTCATTTTAGCAAACTTTCACCCAATCCTATTATATTATTGTGCTATATTAGATTTTATAGACGACATAATTAAAATAAATAAATTACTTTCTCCGCTAACTGTCACATCTAAAGTTTAACCTTTCATTTGACAAAATTTATTAATAGTTTGTAAATGATCATATTTTATTTTCAATCACACATTTTAATGAATCCACATATACTATTCATTTATATACTACTCAATTTTATTTATTTCTAAATTAAAGTGTTCATAATTTTTTCCCAAACGGAGACTAAGTTATTGGAGAAAGGATACGTGTATTTGTTTACAAGTCCTCAACAAACTCTCTCATGTATGGACTAGGTTCTTAAAGAATTTGATTATCGCATTTAAAAGTTTAAACTGTTAAGAGGGACGTCATGTAATTATTTAAACGTTATCTTCAACACTCTATATTGACAATTTTTATCATAGTATGAGGACGGTTCGGCAAGTTTCCCCCAAGATGGACCCCATTCTATTATAAGTACCTCCATATTCTGCTTAGTACTATTAGACAATAAATTTGAACCAACGAGTGATTGAAAAACTCCTTTTTTTTTGTTCTCAATATTGCAGTGGGCCTAGTTGAACCGAAGAAACCAAAAACTTTTGTTAACTAAGAAAACCGATCAAATTTCTACTCCACCTATTTATAAAAATTGTATACGTGTAACATTTTTAATGAAACTTTTGTAATGAATCTGTTCATGCTGCTAGGAATTTGCAGGAGCAAAAAAGGGAACAAATTAAGGAAACAAATTAAATTTGTGATGATATGATTCCTTAGTATAACTGGCGATGGATGGAGAACAAGAGATGGTGGATGCTAGAAGACAATTTGGACCGACCAAATAAGAACAGATCTTTAGCAGATCCTTTTGAACTTTTGTCCAAATATCTAGATATTTGCTTTTTCCAGTCAAAACATTAGATACATTAGTCAAAAAATATATTGTAAATCTTTTATTGCAGTGAATTTATTTTAGTATGTATATATTCTTCCTCATTGCTATTCAATTTATCTTCGATTTGGTCCCCATTTGATTTAGATAAAAAATTTACTTTTACTATATTTTAATAAAAAAATGATAAAATATGTTATTAAAAAGTTGATAAAAATTGTGAGTTTTATAAAATATGTGATTGAAAATGAATTTAACAAAAAAAAAAAAAATTTGAGATTTAAGATTAGAGGTCAAACGGGGTTATACTACTATTATCGAGTCTCAAGATAAGTGCACCCTAAAACTTCTAACATGATATAAGTTAAACCCTTATTAAATAAAGAAATTATGAGAATAGATCGGAAGCTCTAGTAGTACAAAAAAATTATTGTTGTAATATTTACTTCACAAGCACGTTAGGGTAGGCATGGCCTAATGGCTCGAGCTCGCTGGAAAAAGCCCTAGTCGGGTTGGCTAGTGGCTCAGTGGGACCGAGCCCCATTTTGGGGCGTCGGCTTGAGCTCGGGCCTGCCCGTGGTCCGGGCGAGCCTCCCATTAAAAAAAAAAATTAAATAATTTTTTGAAAGAGCTGCTTCATTTAGTTGCTTGCAAAAGCAGCTGCTCAGTTGCCTCTTGCAGGCGGCAGTAAAAAAAAAAAATCAAAAAATTCGAGCCTCATTTTTTTTGGCCGGGCTTTGCTCAGCTTGGGCCTAGAAAAAGCTCGAGTTTGGCTCGGTTCGGCTTGTTCACATAGCTACCCGTGAACCTAAAAAAAAAAAAAAAATTTGCATGCCACTTTTTTTTTTTTAGCTATAATTTTTTTATAAGTTAATATTTAGTTATTATTTTATAGTACGTATAAATTGTACAAATTTTAAATTCTTTTTAAAAAAATTTAGATTTGTCACGAATTAAAAAAAAAAAACCTAGCCGACTCGGCTCGAGCCAAAAAAAAGCTCGAATTATTTTTACTTGAGCCGAGTCCGAGTAAAAAGTTTCGGCTCGCGACTCGACTCGTTGACACCCTTATGTTAGGACAAATAATAATAAATGGAATTATATTTCGTTTCTAATTATTTTTTAATCAGGGTATTCTAATTTTATTTTTAAAAATGTTGTATTATATGCTCTCCAAATCCCTTGACTTTCATAAGAAGAAAATTGTAGAAATTACCCGTGGTCATATATATAACCTAAGATCAATTCAAACATAGAGCACAATTTGTTTATAACGTTGCTAGCAATTGCAAAAAATAATAATATATATTAGACTGATGGCATTAATTAGAGAAAAACTATTGATCCAGCATTTCTTATAATAATGCCAAAAAATGGACATCGTGAATATCGAGCCCAAATTAGTAACGAGTTCTTCCGACCTTTACTCACATTATTGATGCCTGCAAAGGGTCGAGGGGAAGGTCCCCGGACACCAACTTAAAATGTGATAATCATTATGTATATATTTGAACATCTGTTAGAATTAGGGTGTGACCCGAATTTCTTGTCGATGTAATTGAAAAATTTTAATTGAAATGCAAGACACCAACTTTAAATGTGATAATCGTTATGTTTATTTTTGAACATCTGTTAGAATTAGGGTGTGATCCGAATTACTTATTAATGTAATTGAAAAATTCTAATTGAAATGCACGTTAAGAAGAATTCAGTTTTGAATGCTCTTAAAATCCTTTGTCAAGTTGAAATTTTATTTTGAAAGCTCATTAAGAGTTGAAAATTGGTATTAGACTTGAACAAGAGTTTGAGATTAGTGACGGCAAAAAAATCCGCCCCACCCTGCCCCGACGGGTTGGTGGGGAGGGGTGGGAAGGGGGTGCCCAGCCCCGAAGTACCCCGAACCCGCCCTGTAAAAAATAAAAAAAATAATTAACTACAAATTAAAAACAAAAAATAATTAATTGGAAGTTTTTGAAAAAAAATAAATAAATAAACGGGGCAGGAAACGGGGCAAGCCTACACCCCAAACCCATCCTGCCCCGTTTAAGGTGGGGCGGGGCACGTGGCCCGCCCTGAATCCGCCCCATTGCCATCTCTAGTCGAGATGAAGAAAACAACTTGGAACAAAAAGTAAAATTGGGCAGAATGCCAGGCGTCACTTGTACATGTTTCGATTTTTCGCGTTTCTCTCTCTTTTGAATATAATTAACACAACTAGTGATATCAAATATTTTGAGTATGATTAACACAACATCATCTAAATTTTGTATGTTTGTATGGGTAAGTGTCGTATATAACGTGTAAAATATTATAACACTGTTTAAGTCACAAAGCTGGAAGATGCAATTAGTTAATTTTATTTCTTCTTTCATACTGTCCCATCTTCAGCCATTTCCTTTTTCATCTTTATTTCTTCTTTAATAATTGTAATCTCCTCCAAGAACTTTTTAGATAATAATATCCACATTGTTTTAGACTTTTCGTTTTCCATAATCTTTAATAATTTTGCGGGTTGGATTTGGATGAGAATACGTGTCTCTTATTTATTAGCTAGACAATTAAAGTTGGGGGCACAATCGAATTTGTAAAAAAGTTGGGAGAAATTTTACAATCGAAAATTTACATCCAAAAATTTACATGGAATATGACTTTTCCAAATGTAAAATTTTGAAAATTTTTGATGTCATATCCTATATGAATTTCCTAATAAAATAATGCAAATTACATTAAAAAATTTGTATCACAAAAATAATAAATGTTAATGAAATAATTAAAATTTTTTGAAAAAATGCGAGTTAGACGCCTCTTTTTACGACGTACGTTTGACGCATCTTTAACTATTTTCGATATCTATTTGAACTATTCAATATGCCTATGATATAGTTTT